CACCGTTTGAGGTTTTATTCGAGAAACCGGCGCCCTATTCTCACTTGCGGGTCTTTGGGTGTCTGGCTTATGCAAAGGATACCCATGCCGGGCTTGATAAATTTGCTGAGCGTGGTCGCGCATGTGTATTCCTTGGTTATGCCTCCAGCCAGAAAGGTTATCGTGTTTATGATCTGGCTACGCAAAAATTATTCACCTCACGTGATGTGGTTTTTAATGAAGATTACTTCCCGTTTCAGCATAGCACTTCTGATCGCGTGCATTGGCTCCCGCGCGCTGTTCTTCGTGCGCCCACTGATGATGATGATGTTGATGGAGGTCCTAGCGAACAGCCCTTACCTGCTGCTCCTAACTCAAATGTGTCGATTCCAGATACTTCCCCGGCTGATTCCAGTGCTTCCGCGTCGCCCAGCTCCAGCGGGTCTAGTCCAACCGAGCTGGTGAGCTCCGACGAGGTCGTTCCAGCTTCACCACCGCAAGCAGCCGCCCCTCCTCCTAGGCGTAGTGATCGTGACCGGGCTCGACCTCGCCACCTTGAGGCCTATGACACGATCTACAACACTCATGTCACTTCGGCTGTAGCCTCACAGGGAAGTACCACTACTTCTCTTCCTTACCCCTTAGCTGCCTATGTATCTTATGATCATGTTAACACCACATATTCATCTTTCTTGACTGCAGTTAATCTCCACCTTGAGCCCCGGACTTTCCGCGAAGCTTTTCAGGATCCGCGATGGCGGGAAGCGATGCTCAAGGAAATTCGTGCCCTACAACAAAATGGCACATGGACTCTTGTTGATTTGCTGCCTGGTAAACGAGCTATTGCATCCAAATGGGTATACAAGATCAAGTTTTACCCCGATGGGAGCATCGAGTGTTTCAAAGCGCGCCTGGTCGCTAAAGGATTCACTCAGATTGAGGGAATTGATTTTCACGATACGTTTGCCCCTGTAGCGAAGTTGGTTACCGTTTGCTGCCTTCTTGCAGTAGGTGTTAGTCGTGGTTGGACACTCCATCAATTGGATGTCAACAACGCTTTCCTCCACGGCGATCTTGAGGAGGAAGTCTACATGAAAATTCCCCAGGGGTTTGCTGCTCCGGGTGACACACGAGTCTGTCGCCTTCATAAATCACTCTATGGTCTTCGCCAGGCCTCGCGAAACTGGTACCACAAATTTACCGATGCTCTTTGCTCTCTTGGATTTCGTGCATCCCCAGCTGACCACTCTCTTTTTATCTACCGCCGGGGGAGCACGTTCGTTGCTGCATTGATTTATGTTGATGATGTTCTCCTTACTGGCAATGATCTCAGCTTTATTTCTCACGTCAAACGTTTCTTGGATGATCAATTCAGTATTAAGGACTTGGGTACACTCCGATATTTTTTGGGCATGAAATTCACCCGAACTCAGGATGGTGTGGCCGTTTGCCAACGTAAATATATTCTTGAAGATGCTGGCGTTGGTGCAGCTCGCCCTAGTGCTTTTCCGGTCGAGCAAAATCATCATCTGACTCGACCTACCGCCGCTGCCGATGTTTTGACTGATCCCTCGGCATACCGTCGCCTGGTTGGGCGGCTTTTATACCTCACAGTCACGCGCCCCAATCTTGCTTATGGGGTGAACATACTCAGTCAGTTTGTTGGTTCACCTAGTCAGGCTCATATGGATGCAGCGTTGCGGATTCTTCGGTACATCAAGTCAAGCCCTGGCCAAGGTCTTTTCTTCCCAGCTAGCAATGATCTTTCCCTCACTGCCTTTTGTGATGCAGACTGGGGTGGCTGTGAAAGCACCCGTCGCTCTACTACTGGTTACGTTGTGTTTCTTGGTGGCGCCCCCATCTCTTGGCGTACTAAGAAGCAACGTGTAGTTTCCCGGTCTTCTGCAGAGGCCGAGTATCGTGCCATGGCTGCCACCGTTAGTGAGGTACTCTGGCTCCGTTGGCTGCTCAGTGAACTAGGGGTACCTCACCGCCAGTCTACCCCTTTGTTTTGTGATAACCAGGCTGCTCTCCATATCTCGACCAATCCGGTTTTCCACGAACGCACCAAGCATGTGGAAATGGACTGCTACTTCGTCCGAGAACGCGTTCAGTCTGGTGATATTCTTCCTCTCAAAGTCAGCACTCATCATCAAGTTGCTGACATCTTTACTAAAGGACTTGGTGCAGATCGCTTTCGGTTTCTATTATCCAAGCTGCGCGTTCGGAATATCCACGCTCCAGCTTGCGGGGGAGTGTTGGATAGTGCTGATCACAAGCCGCCAACCCAGCCCATCGTAGCGGCCCATGCGGCCCATGCTCATACACACGGAATGGACGTGGAGCATTATGCTTCTAAAACCCTAGATACAAGTTGTATAGGGCTATATAATGAATGTATTGGCTTCGGCCGCAGCTAAGTTCATCAGATCAATAATATTGCAGCCGGAGAGTCTTGTGACTCTTCCGTGGACTAGTCTCGACACACCGTCGAGGATACCACGTAAACCTTGTCTTCTTGTTTTTCACGATCCAGTTCTAGGTCGATTTCTCATAAATAGACTTGTGATCTTGAGACAATTGACATATTAGATATTCTAGCTAGAATTTCATGGAAGTGTAAGCCTGAGTATGTGAGTCAAGTAGATGAGCCCACATCCCAAGAGCAGTAGTGAAAGAGCGGAGGTTGTGGGCCACTGTCAGATAATCTAACTCTTAGCCCCTGTTCACTTTCATTTTCGTTTTCTGTTTTCTGTTTTCATGTGATAAATTTGGCAACCGAAATGAGAAAACTTGTTTACTTTTCATTCTGTTTCCTATCCGTTTCCAACTATGAAAACAGAAAGTGGCAACTTCCTGCTGTTTTCGGAAACGACAAAATGTTGTTTTCACCTGTTTTCAACATCTGTTTTCTCAAAAACAGGAAACAGAAATAAAAGTAAACAGGCCCTTAATGTGTGTTTTATTTCTTTTACAGATAGCGACATTTTTCGCTCTAGTATCATCAACTAAAGGACAAGCAATAGTGCCTTCGATAATGTCAATCAAAGTCCTCTCTTTAACAAAGGTGTTGAATTAAAATGCCAATAATGTATAATTGGAATCATTAAGCTTTTCATCGAGAGATTTGCCATGTTCAAGTTCCATGATGAAATGCAGACAAGTACAAATCAAGAATGAAGAAATCTCGGATGAAAGCACTTAAAAAGGTAAAAAACTCTAATATTATGTTAAACAAACAACTAAAATAATGAAGAAAACAACAAAATAGATGATTCGTGTGGTTTTCCCATTCAATGTGAACGAGACTATTCCATGAAAAATTATAAACTCTCAATCAATACTCTTATGATATGATTTGCTATTGGTTCTGAAAAAATTATAGCTAGAATATCTAATATGTCAAAAAAATTTATGTTTTTTTATTTCTGAATTTTGTTTTCTTTCGATTAATAAAAATAATAAATCAAAAAAATTAATTAAAAGAACGAAAAATGGCCCATTTTTAGCAAATGACAAGAAAACAAAATTCAGAAATAAAAAATATATATTTTTTATGTCCTCAAAGCTGACGTGGCAGGTGAGGTGGCCATTGACTAACGGTCTACAGGTTTGACCGTCTGATTTAACGGTCAAACCCGCCTCCAGGCCAAATGAGGAAGTTTGCTACATAGTTCAGGCCAGAATAGCATTTTCCAATACCACGAGCCAAAGTAGAAAGTATGTGTATAGTTCGGGCCAAACTAAGATATTAACCCTAAGATCTAACTCTATTGTATAACAAATAATTACAAATACAATAACAACCCTATAAAATATACTAGCTTTGTACCCGGCCCGTTGACCTGTTACATTTCGTCAATAGTATAATATCAGTACATTAGTAAGAAGACATATAATTAAAATGCTTACTCAATATATTATACACTACATCACTAACATAGAATTCTCATACTAAATTTTGTGGTTTAACTAAGGATTGTCCAATCATTAAAATACCACCATAACCATGTCTTCTCATGCCTCCACACTTAGTTTTTGCCCTAGATTGTTAGTTCAGGCTTCCCAACCAAGAGAGACGATCTTCTGAGTTTTTTTTTTTTTTATAATGGTGACATCGATTTTGTAAGTGAATAATTAAAAATGTACAAATAATCCAGGAAAAAATGATTGATGGACAACCTAAAATATGGGATGAAAACAAAGCAGTAAGCCATCCTACTACCAAATAGAAACACAGATAACAACGTTGCTATCAACTCAAATGATACATCTAACAATTTTCTTATGAGTTAATTTTGGTTTTACCTCACGTCTAAGTCTTAAAAAGCACTCTTGATGTCTAATTTGAGAATGTTGTGCAGATTTTTAGATAAATTCTTAAGATACGTAATCCTCCATTAAAATCAGTCTCTCCCATCTTTGTCAAACCTACTGGACTGTAAACAAAGAAATTTCATCAGGATCCATACCTTACCCTGATCTAAACTAACAAACCTCTCATCACTCACTAATAGGCATATTAAGAATATTCTTTTTAATTTCATTTTAAAATTTTAAACCCTTCACTCAAAGACATGAACTAAGAACCTCTCATCACTCACTAATAGGCATATTAAGAATATTCTTTTTAATTTCATTCTAAAATCTTAAATCCTCACTTAAAGACATGAATTAAAATTATCTGTACCGTAGGTCAATGTTAAATTTTTCTTTTTAACAACGATTATTTGAACAAAATAAAGCTATTATCTAGTTATTAACTAATATGTGTTCAACCTTTGTCCTAAACCATAACCGAGAGTTTAGGGTCAAATCTATCTAGATCAATATCATGTGTATCATTAATTTCATGCATGTTGTTGCATGGATAATATTTTATCATACCATATTGTTTGGCAAAATCGAAAAAAATTATTACGGTCAGTCAAATCTATGTAGTATAAAAAAATCATATCAATCAATTTTACATGTTCAAACGAAAAATCTAAAGTATAAAAAGGGGTTTTGACCGGTCTTATATCGGTGTAATGCACATTGAATATTTATTTGTACAAAACAATGATAATACATACAGCATTTACTATCGATTAAATCATGAATACTATTCCACTAAATTATCCATTACCATTGCATAAATCAACATTATTTCATTAGTTAAAACAATTTTCCCATCTTAACTTGGTATGACTTGGAAGATTATTAGGTCCTTGAACAATAAAATTTTGGACCGAAAATGTATTCCTTTCTTAATAAGTGGGAAGGGGGTAAAAGTTACTAATAAAATGAATCTAGCGGGGTCCAATAAATTGATTTCTAATTGCCATGGGCCAAGCCCACAGCATGCCATGCCAACACCCTATTCTATTTTTGTCGATTGATGAGATGTAAAAAGACTAATTAATCCTTCCTTGCTCTAACAAGCTCGGTACTGCTATTTGTCTATGGTAGCTAATTCGATCAGATGACAAATTAATGTATAAGCAAGTAGCTTCCCAACAAGTCGTTGTAGTATAGTGGTAAGTATTCCCGCTTGTCACGAGGGTGACCCGGGTTCGATCCCCGGCAACGGCGCTACTTTTTTGGTTTTTTGTTGTTTTTACTTCGTCTGTCTATCTTCGTAGTCGTCGTCAATCTTGTACCTCCACAGCTTCCTGCTCAGACCGACTTCAGACGCGGAATTCCGCGGTCCCCTTCCCTCTACCATTCTACCTTCCTAAACCCTAAAAGTCATATAATACTACAACATGAAAGTCACCGGCGCTTCAATCGTCTCCACATTCCGCTTCCCTTACAGTAACACTTTCCATCGGCTCTTCCCTTCCCAATTCCTCCCCTCATCTTCTTCCCTCTCGTTTTCACTCTGTTATAAAAGAGCCATGCCTCAGTCTCAGGCCCGTTGCTCTGCCACTTATTCTTCTCCGGCTTCCGACGCCGCTCTACCGTCGAATGCCACGTTGGTTAGGCCTAAACAACACCCATGGCTTATTGTTGGCCTGGGGAATCCTGGGAAGATGTATCAGGGTACTCGCCATAACGTCCGTACCCACCCACCGCTTTCTCTTTAGCTTCTGCTTTTACTTTCTATTACCGGCATTGTTGATTTGTAGTTAGTTCTTAATGGAAATTTTGCTGAATTTGTGATTCATTGTTGAATCGGGTACTTGATTTTGCAGGTGGGTTTTGAGATGGTTGATGCAATAGCTGGAGTGGAGGGGATATCAGTGAGTACTATCTCCAACAAAGCCCTTTTTGGAAGAGGTTTCATATTTTTCCCTCTTTTAACCGATTTACTTGAATATGAGAGTCTGTCTTTTACTTCCATTGTCAAATCTCTAGTCCTTCTAGCGTTGGCTGTTCCTTGAATCCAGGTTTTATTGGCAATATCCCTGTAATGCTGGCAAAGCCACAAACTTTCATGAATGCAAGTGGTGAGTCTGTAAGTAAGCTTACCATCTGCAATCAATCACCTTTTTTTAACGGTGTTCATGGTGACAATTGATGCCTTGCAGTGGGGGACTGTAATCCATAATATTCCATTTTGCAGGTTGCGCCCATTGTATCGTATTACAAGGTGCCACTGAATCAAGTTTTGTTGGTAATGATTCATTTCTTTTCTATTATGATGTCTATTGAACATCGCTTCTCTTTCAATCTTCATAAGTGGTTCATGTGGTTGTACAGATATATGATGACTTGGATTTGCCTTTTGCCAAGTTGAGATTGTTACCAAAAGGTGGCCATGGTGGACACAATGGGTACACTTGCTTATTTTAGTTCTCATGGCTCATGATATCATGTCTCTACTTTGTGTCAATGTCCAAAGTATTCACAAACTTCTTCCCTCTTTTTTCTCAAAGGATGAGAAGTGTCATTGATCGCCTCAAAGGTAGTCGAGATTTTCCTAGGTTAAGAATCGGTAGGTGGTGTGTTCCTTAAGCTATGTTGAATGTGTAAAAGTACTCCCTCATTGAGTAAGCATCATAAACTGTGTTGTTTATGCAATCATTGTATAGGTATCGGGCGGCCTCCTGGGAAAATGGATGCTGTTAACTTTGTTGTGCGCCCATTCAACAGACAAGAACGTGAAGAGGTAAAAGATAACGATGGTTAATAATTTGTGGAACATGTTAAACTTTTGGTGTTCCAACTGGATTTGTTTCTTTGGCACAGTTAGATATGACATTTCAACAAGGCATTGAAGCTGTGCGAATTCTGTTGCTCGAGGGGTTTAACAAGAGTGCAACATTTGTCAACAGTTCCAAATCCATGGAGCAACTTGGTTAGTTAACAGCTGCATTAGGATCACCATTGTTTACAAATTGGCTCAGAGACTAATGTCCAGTGCAGATTAAATGGCAAAGAAAAAGGAGGAAGAAGCTAGATTTTGGACGAGGAGATTAATCTTTGTCGACCTGATCTATTAGAAGCTCGGTAGTCATTCCCACCTTTTCTGAACAGAAATTGTTGATTATCCACCATTGAGATTTCAGTCAAATACAAGAAGATATACTAGGAAGGTAATCATTTAATGTCTGGATTGCCTAGTGTTGCATTCACATCTGATTGGATATGTTTTTGTGGTTAGGTACTACTTATTCATACAAATGGATAAGTATTCGAATATGGAACCTGTTTGTGGTTAGGTACTACTTATTCATACAAATTAAATTCTTATCAAAGTGAGAAGGTAGTCGCTGCTAGTTCTACTCGAATAAAGCCGCAAAAATGTGCCTGTTTCTTTCTCCTTGTCTGTGATTGGAATGACCCAATTCAGCAAGCAACTAAACAGCTCTTTATCGTCAATCTGTTTCCTCATCCAAATTTCAGCCTATTCAAAGGTAGGGAGTGTAATCAGTGAATGGTGAATTAAACTCCTTTCAACACTCTTACTTTGCTCCTTATCATCACTTTTATCAGCACATAGAGGAAAATTTGACCAATGGAAAGCTAGTTGTTACAATGGTAATAGTTCAACAGAATGAACAAGGTTATTGAAGTGACGACGTTATAATTGAACTTGCAGTTTTAATCTGGGTTCTTTTTATTCATTATGCTTTAATTTCCTATTGGCTCTTGTGTGTGCTTTAATATCCTACACTGTCTAGGTTCGTAACATGTCCTTTTTCTGGAGGAAAAAAAGACTCTGAGATTGAAAAGCAGAGATATGTGTAAGACAATGGGTGGGCATTTCGTTGGTTCGGTTAAAATTTGAATTGAAATCGATATATACCACTTGTAATTCTTCTCCATGACTGATTTCGAGTCAAGTTATAACTCGTCAATAATTTTGTAACAATTTTCTTAGTTAAAATACTAAATTTTTGGAATTTTGATCATCGTGTGTCTCTTCCAAGTCAGGATCATGTCGCCAAGTCAATATTACTAATAAAATTGCTAAATGAAAGTTAACATTTGGTTAATTCTTAGTATTTCGATAGGTTTGGCTAATAAAAAAGAATTCGAAAAAAGTTTGGAAAAAAATAGACAGTACCCTAAATTTTAACTAGACCAAATCAAGTTATTTCATAGTATCGAAACAATCTATGATACATTATTTCTTTTTAAAATAAAAAATAAGTTATATTTGCTCACATACTCAACGTGTTAAACGTCATATAGATATATAATTTAACAATCATATGACATAGATCGATTCGCCCATAAATCGGTAATCGAGTTGACTCTCTAACCACATGTTGAGACATCTCATGAGCTCTAAACGAGCCAGCTCATGAGTTTAGCTCAACAAGCCACCGAGTCGAGCTAGCTCGCGAGCTTCACGAGTTGAACAAGGCTTAGCTCATGCTAGGCTCGTTAATAAACGAGCCGAGTTTCGAACGAGCTTTTTCGTAGTCGAACGCGGAGCCGCTCACGAGCAGCTCAGTTCATTTGCAGCCCTACTAGAATCAAAGCTCAATACCACCCAAAATTCTTTATCATTGAAAATATTGATATTGAAAATCTATATTGACTGTGTAGCTCTATCTAATTATATCTAGGCAACACCTAGGAGTCGCCTTACTCCTTCTGTGTGTTTTTGCTATCTAACTCACCGTGGAACCTCTATGTGAGATGTTTTGGTGTTGCCTAACCCTCATACCTAAACGTAAGGTTAACCTCATCATTTTGAACCATGGCATTGTCCCTTCAGTTTTTCCAGGGGAACCATACAATACGGACACGAAAGTCGCGGTACATATCAAGGCTCCAACCACTTACCACTGGAGCTGCTTCTTCTTCTTCTGAAAGAGTGTAACGGAGAAGGGGATGAAAGATCAAAATATCACTACTAATTATTATTAGCATGTTATTAATATATAAGGTGTTAGCATCCCATCCGTTCCATTAGGATAAATCTTTCTTATTGAACAAGTAACGCCCTAAAAACAATGGTGAAACGCCTTGAAATCCATAAATCAACTGGCAATAATTGCCTATGATACATTATGATTTTTGACAGATCTTCTCCTTAAAACTCTCCTCAATATATAGTTAGAGAGACGTTTGAAGTAGCATCCAGGCACAGAAGAAATACAAGGCAACGGAACAACAATTAGAACGTCAGCCAGCGACTAGTCTAGATACTACAATATTCAGTTGGTGCCTAACAACCAAAATGAAGCATGAACCAAACTTCTCCCGCCAAGATTTCCATCGACTTCTCAACCATGGTGAGTCCATAATCTTGCCCTGTGCATACTCTCGCCAATTAAGATTTACCTCAAGGGCATTTCCTTTGTACATAAGACGCCCCGTGTTCCTCGTACCTGGAAATTTGTGCATCAGTTTTGTTCAGTGCCATATTATCATTTTCTCGCTCAGTTCGTGGCATCTTAATGTACTTACTCTGACTTGGAGAACCACATTTGCTGGAATGAGCCAAGAGATGCCAATATGCTTCCTCCAATCCAAACACTGCATAGAATTAAAGATAGCTCAATACATAGTTAGCGATGGGTGAGGGTTCATCCAGCTCTAGTGCACAATTGCACTCAATACTTGCTAATAAGCTTTTTTCGCGTGAATAATTGTAAGATTGCCTTACCAATGTCATGATCTATGATCTGCCAAATATATAAAGGGCGCCAATATGGCAACTAGGGCAAACTAAAAGGAAAGAGTCGCATTAACACAATACATTCAGATGGACCTCTGGATAGAAGAGAGAACTACTAATAAAAAGAGGAGTTAAGTCAATCAAGGAAACAAACCTGAATCTCCTTTCCATTGAATTTCCACTAGCCAGCACTTTAACTCTAGCATTTTGAGGAGACTCCTGCAGTTTGAATAACAATTTTGTTATCTTGAACTACAATATCAATCCTTTATACATCCAAATAAAATTCTGTAGAGGTTACTCAAACAAAAACAAAAATTACTATGCTTCCTTTCTACATTTTGCGATAACCAGAGTGAAGGCAGCTCTTGCACTGTAAGAAAGTACCTCAAGTAAGTCCTTCTCAAGACGCTCTTTTAACTGCTGCATTGATGCTGTCCCTCCAGCAAGCTATATAAAAACAGGTAGGAAAGGCATTGAAATGCAAAGCCAGCAGACCACTAGAAAATTTATACCAGAGGTGATCACGCCAAGATGCAAGCACTGCTACTGACAGGGCATGTAGGAGAGTAGAATTTATCAGAGGTTTATACAGCAACAACCACATATATTCTACACTAGTTGAAAGAACTGTATTACTACCGAAAGCCATGTATGAAATAAAATTTAGCAGAGGCTGATACAGGCGACTAAATAGCATTTTTTGCCCCCCATGGCAACAAACCAACCCATTGCCTACCCCAATACAGCTTCAACAGTCATATTACAAGTATGCTAACTTGAATATTGCTACTACAATACAAAATGACACTTGCAAGTTGTAAACCATATTCAAATACTTAATATACACTGGGAAGAAAATGCACAGTTGTGTTCAGTAAAAACAGTTCCATGAAACTAGTTGTGAAAGCATATAGTAACTAGTAAGTACACAAGAAAGGAACTATCAATACATTAGCACATTCCATGGTCAGGGTCAATGAAATAAAAAGGCAAACAAACAGTTTCACGTACCAGTATACTACTATATAAATCTCTCCGAATATCCACATCACACCTGTTGATGCTGTCTATCACCTGCAAGCACCAGAAAACTGGCTGATTAAGTGATTAGCTCAAAGCTATTTCGGCTATGAGTAAAAAACAAAGAAGATTACCGACTTACCATTTGAGGCAAGCCATGGAAATTTGGAGCAACCTCTGCAAAGCTTTCGATACCAGATATCGTCTGATAATTAGGAGGAAAAAAACGGATATACTACATCAGCATGTTTGTTGATCCACTGTTTCCATCTTTCTCATAACATTCACATCATGGAATGGGCTCCATCAGTATACTACAAAGTAACTTTCTCAATAGTCAAAAGTATTGGGTCAGAAACATTTATGCCCGTAAAGAAACCAAATGCTATGATGAAATACTCCCCAACTTTGTTTTGTCGTATAAAAAAGAGCTGCAGCATGAAAGACCAAGTCCACCGACCTGTGCTAAAGATGGATTAAATAAAATATCTGGAATCTTGAATCTATCAGCTCCAATTTCAATAGTCCTGTGAATTTAACCACAAAAGTAAGATACGAGTAGAAAAAAATAGCATATTGTAAATGAGAAGCACCAATTGATCTGTAAACTGAGTTCCATGGATTTATAAGACTTACTGGCCATCAGGAAGCTCATATGGAGTCATTGGAATGTTTGAATAGGATGCTTCTGAAATTTACATTGAAGAAAGAAAATGATTTTGAAGGAAAACAAAGCTCAAACATCTGGTGCAAGTTCCATAAAAAGGGGAAGGCAACAAATCTTTGCACACAAGAATGACGCAGTTGGAACAGTAATTGGATACACAAGAACAGCGAGACATCAGGCATAAAAGGGTTGGTTATTTCCAGCAGCATCTGTGAATCCGCTGGCATTCGACTTCATCATATCCGACACTTTGAGACAATGAGAACACGAGTGCCTGTCCATGTCAATTGATGTCCTTTAACAAGTTGCAATTCCAACTGATTCTGTGAGATTTCGAGGACAAGGATGCTTATAGCAAGAATAACATGCTAATTCTCAATGCTTTTGGTCAAATTTAACACAGTACACAGCAATATCAGACAAGAGGGGTACCGTACTGATAAAATGCAGATACGAGGCAATGGTGCCACAAATGTGGATATAGGCATCACAGATGATCAGAGCAAAAGTAAATGAGCATTACTGATGAACTCCGACAGACTCGGTTCAAAGCATAACCTTCCAATGATGGGAGTCTATGGTGTATCGATGGTTAAAAGAAAAACAACTTAAAAGCAAAGCAGAAAACAGATACTGACCATCATATGGTGTATCTGGAGCTCTACATACACATTCCTTGATATCACTAGCAATTACTCTCTATTTAAACAAAAGAAAGGAAAAGAAAAGGTCAGAACATCTGGAAAAGGAACCATATCTCCGAAGGAAAATTGAATTAAAAGAGACCTGGGAGTATAGTCTGTAGCTTTCTGTTGTATTTGGAAATTCAACATCAACTGCCTGTTAGGTTCAAACAATGAAATAGAAAAATGTCAAACAGAAAAATAATGTCGAAGATTCTCAGCAGATTAATAGAAAACTGAGCAGAGCTTTAGCAACAACTAAACAAGGAAAGAAAAGAAGGGGGCAAAAAGGAGATAAGT